GGACACTAAAACGATAACCAAAGTGGCACAGCTTTTCTCAGCAGGATTTCCTCACCTCCTCTTCCCCATCTTCTCGGCTATGTTTTCTTTTTTTCTTTAATCTTTTATGAATGGTTTGGGACATCATTATGCCTATTTTTCACTGCACGCTGTTGAAACCACTACCCCTTTTATTTTTTAAAGATACTTAATGGTATATAAATAATTAACTAGCGATTTCAACTCCTTATATAGTTAAGCCTAAGAAGCATTTCACAGTTTGGGTCTTTGTATTTGCTCATTCCTTCTCTTCCTTCTTTGAAAGTGTTGGTTTTCAAGGTACTTCCATAGTTTCACTGTGCATTTACTTAGCTGATAAAACACATTTACATTCATTGGTTTCTGCCCACAGTTACAGTCCAGGTTTTTTAATAGCACTATTGAGTATTTAAATGAATTCTTTGTGAATACATTTAGATATCTTTACATTTACATTTAATAGAGACACAAATCATTGTTTGGAAGATTGTGTTGTAGCCTGTGGTGATTTATAGATTCATAATAGCCGTATAATAGCATGAAAGAAAAATTTTCAAATTTATGTACAGGTAGCCAATGCTGAGATTATAAATTAAATGACAAGAAGCAACCAAAGTAGTCATGGAAACTCTGGCTTGGTGTGGTGGCTCATGTCTGAAACCCCAGCATCTTGGGAGCCCTAGGTGGGAGGATTGACAGCCTGAGCCCAGCCTGGGCAACATGGTGAGACCTCCCCTCTCTACACAAAATTTTAAAAATTAGCTGGGCATAGTGGCATGCATCTGTGGTCCCAGCTACTCAGGAGACCAGGACAAGAAGATTGCTTGAGCCTAGGAGTTTGAAACTCCAGTGAGCAATGATCATGCCACTGCATTCCAGCCTGGGCAACAGAGCAAGACTCTGTCTATAAAACAAAAACAAAAGCAAATTCTTTGCCTTTGCCCAAAACCCTAACCCGTATCTGAATAAAGAGCATATTTAATCAAGTCATGAAGCTTACTAGAAAAGCAGCCCCTGCATCTATCAAGACATCCATTTCTGAACAGCTTAATTGAATTAACGAGAAGATTATGCACTTGGCAGGATGTTACGTGTGTGTGGTGGCGGGCGGCAGTGGTTGATCATGGAGCAGCCAGATTCAGGCACAATTGGCTACTTTTGTCAATGTAATTAGTAGTATAGATCCTGTCTCAAATAGGTCTTCATTCCAGTATTTGGTGTTACAAGAAGTATCAGTCATCCTTGGTCTATTTGGTGGAGTGCATAAGTTAACGTCTCTGATGTTTAAAGATGCCCTATCTTTTTCTCTCCCATTCACTCATTCATTCACACAGCAATGAACGCCTGCTATGTAGCTAGAAACTGGGGCTACAAGCTGATGCAGAATCTTTAAAGGTAGAAACATTTGAGGTCATTTAGATGAACCTGAAGGAGAACTTCTTACTTTGCCTTTAAAGAGATTTCCTCCGTGGACAACTTCAGCCTTTATTTTGAAAACATGTGAATAGCAACGTATTAAAATGTTAATGTCAGAATTTTAGGCTTTGCAAAACAATGCTTTAAACCCCTAGTTTGTGGCATTTAAAATTATGTTTCCTGAAATGTTGTGAGTTGTGTTTTTTTCCAGATTGTCTTTTCATGTGGTAGATGACAGAACGGGAACATCCCAATGGAGTAATTCCACAGAGCAGCGTGGCCTTACAGGACACTGAGCTGGTGATAACCAGGTTGGTCTGATTAGTAGAGCTTCTGGGCACAGCCCTCCAGTCTCCAAATCCCCAACTCGCACCTGACTTTTCACCACTAAAGTATCATAACTTTGGGTCTCAGAAACTGAGGTAACATCAGAAATCCCAGATAAGACCGGGACAGGGACACCCTCCCACCTAGGCGGGTGGAGAAGGACTGCAGAGAGGGTGGGAGGCAGAGGAGCTGGAGACACACCTACATCACACTTTGCAGCCTCCAGTACCTGGCCTTCATTAGACCCTCTCACCCAGAGATGCTTCGAGAGGAGGACACAAGGAAGGCATGTGGCTTTCCCTTGCTTTTATTGCAAGAGGGGTCTGGATTCAGGTGAGGCGAACAGGCGTTGTTAGCACCCCTTGAGTGAAGACCCTCGGACCACCTGCTATTTTGTGACCATCTGGTCATCAGCCTCAACTGCCCAACATGTGAGTGAGCAAGGCTTTGAGATGACTGCAGCCTCACTTATTGTCATCTGACTATGGCCACTTGAGAGATCCAGAGTGAGAACTATCAACTTGAACTATGTCAGCCTCCCAAACCCAGGGCAGACAATCCCAACAACGATGATACACGGTAGTGACTTTATGCTACCAGTGGACAGCTTGTTACGCAGCAGTGGGCGACCAGAACACCTTCTGTTTAAGGAATTGACATTGCATGATAAATGGTCATGTTGGTGCACACCACAGGAGCATGAGCTCCAAGAATGACTCTTCTTCCTGGGTGGTGAGCTGAGCAAGTTCTTCTCCAGGGCCAGCCTCTATGATGCTAGCAGAGTGGCTAAGAGCAGAAACAGGCTGATGAGTAGGGCCCAAAGCCACAGGGACTGATCTTTATGGACATGAATAAATAGTTCATGAGGGAGCGAGCTCCACCTCACCAATCTCAGGAAGCCCAGGTACAGAACCTGCACCCCTCTGCTGCTCTTCCAAGGATACTGGAATAGCTTCTCAGGTGCCAGCACAATAATTTTATGAATGCCCTCTATATAGGGGCCCAATCAGTTTTTGCCTCATAATGTTAGTGTCTTCAAGCAGCCACGTTCTCATCTTCAATGGGTCTTAGCTCAAATGAACATTCTTATTTGTATATAGTAACTTATGAGAATAATTTACTTCAAAATAGAAGATATGGTTTAAAGGACAATTTGTGTGCTTAAAACATTCTAGAAATGCCATAATTAAACTGTTAAAAGGATATCATATGGAAAATGACTATATGTGAGAGTATATAATGCAAACCATATACCTACAATTTATCTAAAAGTTGAAAGCAAAAGTATCAGCATGTAAAAGGGAACGATGCAATGTCAATTCCTTAAAAAGGTGTTCTGGTCACCCACCGCTGCATAACAAGCTGCTCACTGGTGGCATAAAGCACCGACAGTGACCGTCTATCATCGTTGTTGGGATTGTCTGTCCTGGGTTTGGGAGGCTGACATAGTTCAAGTTGACAGTTCTCACTCCGGATCTCTCAGGTGGCCATCCTCAGATGACAGTGACTGAGGCTGGGGTCATTACAAAGGCTTGCTCACTCACGTGTCGGGCAGTTGAGGCTGATGGTCAGCTGGCGTGTGAAGCATATCTTTTATCCTGGTACTTGAATATTAAGGGTCTTGCTGGCACTAGAGGGACTTCCCCTCTCAGGGCTAGCTGATTCATAGAGATAATCAATGACTTTCATATGCAAATCAACAAATCCAGAGCCCTGTACCCCAACCAATCCAAATCCCTGTACCCCAACCAATCCAAATCCCTGTACCCCAACCAAGCCAGAGCCCTGTACCCCAACCAAGCCAGAGCCCTGTACCCCAACCAGTCCAGATCCCTGTACCCCAACCAGTCCAGAGCCCTGTACCCCAACCAATCCAAATTCCTATACCCCAACCAGTCCAGAGCCCTGCACCCCAAACAGTCCAGATCCCTGTACCCCAACCAGTCCAGATCCCTGTACCCCAACCAGTCCAGAGCCCTGTACCCCAAACAGTCCAAATTCCTATACCCCAACCAGTCCAAATTCCTGTACCCCAAGCAGTCCAGATCCCTATACCCCAACCAGTCCAGATCCCTGTACCCCAACCAATCCAGATTCCTATACCCCAACCAATCCAGATTCCTGTACCCCAACCAGTCCAGATCCCTGTACCCCAACCAATCCACATTCCCCAACCAGTCCAGAGCCCTGTACCCCAACCAATCCAAATCCCTGTACCCCAACCAAGCCAGAGCCCTGTACCCCAAACAGTCTAGATCCCTGAACCCCAACCAGTCCAGATCCCTGTACCCCAACCAATCCAAATTCCTATACCCCAACCAATCCAAATTCCTGTACCCCAACCAGTCCAGATCCCTGTACCCAACCAATCCAGATCCCTGTACCCCAACCAATCCAAATCCCTGTACCCCAACCAGTCCAGATCCCTTTACCCCAATGAATTCAAATTCCTGTACCCCAATCAATCCAAATTCCTGTACCCCAACGAGTCCAGAGCCCTATACCCCAAACAGTCCAGAGCCCTGTACCCCAACCAGTCCAGAGCCCTGTACCCCAACCAGTCCAAATTCCTATACCCCAACCAATCCAAATTCCTGTACCCCAACCAGTCCAAATCCCTGTACCCCAACCAGTCCAGATCCCTGTACCCCAACCAGTCCAGATCCCTGTACCCCAACCAATCCAGATTCCTATACCCCAACCAATCCAGATCCCTGTACCCCAACCAGTCCAGATCCCTGTACCCCAACCAGTCCAGATCCCTGTACCCCAACCAATCCACATTCCTGTACCCCAACCAGTCCAGAGCCCTGTACCCCAACCAATCCAAATCCCTGTACCCCAACCAAGCCAGAGCTCTGTACCCCAACCAGTCCAGATTCCTGTACCCCAACCAGTCCAGATCCCTGTACTTCAACCACCTCCTTTATTGGGCTCTTCCAGTTTGGGACACTACCTATCTGCTCAGAGACCAGACAACTAGGCTACCCCTACATCCTAGAGACTACCAAAATTACTGAAGCCAGTCCTAAACCTGCTCACCCTGCCTTTCTGTTCCTTCCCAGAGATGCTACAATAAAGGCCCTTGCCCACACTTTCCCCTCACTCTCTGCCTCCTGACCATCCTTAGCGCTTCCCTGTATGATCTCACAGTGTGGCATGCCTTCTCTTTCCAGAGATCTGTGAGCATAAAAACGTATCCCTTCATTAGAGTTATTTCTGTGTCTATGTGTCTTACTTACCACACTTCCTTCAAACAGATCTCAGCTACATTTCAAACAGCTGGGACCTCGGCTATTGGCCAGATCACTAACATGTGGTATCTCCATGTGGCTTGGGCTTCCTCATCTTATGGCTGTTGGGTTCCAAGGGCGAGCATCCTGCAGGGAGAGAGAACTAGATAGATATTGTATCTACCTTCTTTTTTTTGTTTGTTTTTTTGAGACGGAGTTTCGCTCTTGTTACCCAGGCTGGAGTGCAATGGCGCGCGATCTCGGCTCACCGCAACCCCCGCCTCTTGGGTTCAGGCAATTCTCCTGCCTCGGTCTCCTGAGTAGCTGGGATTACAGGCATGCGCCACCGTGCCCAGCTAATTTTTTGTATTTTTAGTAGAGACGGGGTTTCACCATGTTGACCAGGATGGTCTCGATCTCTTGACCTCGTGATCCACCCTCCTTGGCCTCCCAAAGTGCTGGGATTACAGGCGTGAGCCACCGCGCCTGGCCGATCAGGTTTCATTTTCTAAGTGGCGTCTTCATCATGGCAATGTACATATTTTTTAAATTGTACCTCTCTTGATATTTTACAACTTTTGATGCTGTGATCTTTAATGCCTTAAATAGGACTAAATTACTTGAAATAATTTGAAACGATTTTAAGTCCCAGTTTGAAACTTTATTTTTCCTTCCTGTCAAGCCACTATCTTAATACAACTTGGAATACAGTGTTCGCTTAGAGAATTGACTGTAGGCCAAAATTAAAAACAAAAATAAACAAACATTTAAAAATCAATCAACTAAAATGTAAAAATTAGACTATGTGGAATGTGAAAAGTGGTTATTAGGACTTTTAGCTACAGTGTGACTTGACTCACAAGAATTTGTTTTTCTAATTGAATTGTTGCTTTTATCTTTATTAATTCATTTGAGAAAAGAGACTTGAAGAAAATGGTAGTGAGAGCATTCAGTCTCCTAACTGATGAGTAAGTGATTAATTCAAAATTCTTGATGATCCCTTTTAAGACAGGAGACAGGGAAAGAGGAAGGTTTTTCATAGTCCTTTGGTTTCACTGGCAAATAAGACCAGAGTAGCTAAATGTCCTTCGAGAAAACATGATAAAGGCATTATTAGAAAGGTCAATCTCAGCATGAGAAAAAGGCAAAACCTGGAAAAATCTTTTTAAAATACCAAAATTAAATGAACATTAGAGTTTGGAATTAAAGAGGCCAGACTAGGCATAAAAAATGAACAGAGACGTCAGTAACACGGAAGCAGGAAAGGAGGTACAACTTACTAAAGCCCTGAGCAGAGAGGGAAAGCACTCTTCAAAGAAACACCGTAAGAAAACACACAGAGAGCCCTTTCCTCGTGTTTAGACGCACCTCATGGCCAGAAGACATCAAAGGCAGGGCTTTGGAGTGACAGCGTGGTGCCCAGCCAAACAAAAGAATCGTTTTTACATCTACAGGTTCTGAAGGCTTCACCTCGTATGAATTTTCCCCAGCATTGTGGAGATAATAGCTCTCCTTTTCGTGACTTGATGAAGGGTAAAACAATTACAGAAGGCTCAACACTGCATTTGATAACACCAAAAAATGAAAGCAGAAAGCCTCCTAGGAAGCCAGTCTCTGGTATCCAAACCAGATGGCTCAGTGACGGTCCTCCTCCTCCTCCTGAAGGCTGCAAGAGCATGGCAGGAGTCAGTGTCAGGAGCAATCTCGCCCGTCTCTATGGCGTGAAATCAGAATATATCTATCTTTTCTTCATTTGGTGAAATAAGGTGTTTTTTAAGCTTTTTTTTTTTTTATTAGAAATCCTCTTTGTTTTGTTTTCCTTTCTTTTGTTCTCTTTTTTTTTTTCCTTGAGGCAGTCTTCCTCTGTCACCCAGGCTGAAGTGCAGTGATACACAATCTCAACTCACTGCAACCTCTGCCTCCTAGGTTCAAGTGATTCTCATGCCTCAGCCTCCCAAGTGGCTGGGATTACGGGTGTGCACCACCACACCTGGCAAATTGTTTGTATATTTAGTAGAGATAAAGTTCTACTACATTAGTCAGGCTGGTCTTGAACTCCTGACCTCAAGAGATCCACCTGCTTCAGCCTCCCAAAGTGCTGGGATTACAGGCATGAGTCACCACACCGAGGCTTCATTTTCGTTTATGAAATAAAATATCTCTATTTCTTACAATTTTCCCTTAAGTCATGAAGACCAACTCTCGTCTAGATGCTACTGATTCTCTCATAGTTGTATGTGTGAACAGTTCATATTTGCTTAGGCACACAACGTTCTTTGTTTAAATAAAGAGTGGTAGCATTCTTTGCTAATTATTATCTTTAACCTATGAGGGACACTCTGACCCTCATGATCTTTTTCCACTCTATTCCAAAGTAACAACAATCACTTTCATATCTTTTCTTATAGTTATACATGGGGTTTCTGTCCCCAAGTTTTAAAATGCCTTAAATTACAGAGTAATTCAGAGGAAATGACATTACATTTTACCTTGTATTAGAGTTTTTTGTGTACATATCTCATCTTTTCTATTAATTAAAACTCCTAATTGGCAGGAAATATTTATTACTTATTATTGTGGCTTTTATGGTGTTCAATCAAAAGCCTTGCACACATCTCTATCAACAGCACATTGTATTGTATCTGTGCGCATGCTACATAGCAACCACACCAGTACATAATCATTACCCATACCTTTCCATCTTTTTTTGTTGAGACAGAGTCTTGCTCTGTCACTGAGGCTGGAGTATAGTGCTACGATATCAGCTCACTGCAACCTCCACTTCCTGGGTTCAAGCCCCACTGAGTAGCTGGGATTACAAGCACACATCACCAATCCTGGCTAATTTTTGTACTTTTAGTAGAGATGGGATTTCACCATGTTGGCCAGCGGGTTTCAAACTCCTGACCTTGGGTGATCTACCCACCTTAGTCTCCCAAAGTGCTGGGATTACACGCATGAGCCACTCATACTTTTTTCTATCTCCCCAAAGAGATTGTGTTTATGTAACTTATTGTGCACACAATAACCGGCACTTGGGATGCACACAAAATACTTTTGAATGAGATGTTGATTGATTAAAACTTTTGTTGGATGAATGGACAGCTGGGTGAACGGATGATGGAGGATGGACGGCTGGATAAATGGATGGATAAGCAGGCAGGTGGGTGGATGCATAGAACATCAGCTTGTAATATTAACCACAAACTTTTTCAGAATAAATTTGAACTTATACAGGTTTACTCTTCTGTCTTCGTTTTAGGCAATCTTAAATCTTGTTAAACGGTTATCCTCAATTAACTTTTAAAAGTTATGACAAAATTTCAGAAACATTTTTGTTTACAAATAATAAAGAAGGGGAGGGAAAGAGGTCGTGTTGAAGGGACTGCGATGGCGGTGCTCACCCCACTCTGCGCCATGCGTGCACACCGTGCTGTGCTCAGCCTAGTCAGATGCAGCAAATCTGTGAGCACTAAAATATCCACAGAAACACATCGCTTCTGTGTTCGTTATTTTCCAAATAACAGCAGCGGAATGCTTTGGGAAGAGGTCGTGAGCGGCGTGGAGGAGGAAGTCGATCTGAAATGCCTGAGGAGGTGGAGAAGAAAAGCCAGAGAGAGCAGAGAGACCTTGGGGACAGAGGACTGGAGAGCCAGACGTGAGCCTCCAGTGCCCTGCTGCCACCCTGGCCACACGGAGGCATTTCGCAGAGCCTCGGTTCCCTCATTAGAAAAACCGAGGGGTTGAACTGCTTCATTTTTGAAGTTCCTTCCAGCTCTAAAATGTCTTAGTTGTAGGCAAGCCAAAATAAACAAAAAATGGCATCACTTTATGCATATGTTCTAAATATCCCAGTGGGAAAGCACGAAGCCTGTGTTTCCAGCTCGCTGCTTCAGAGATGCCAGTTCACAAGTCGTTCTTTAATCTCGGGGACATTATCTGAATTCCTTATGAAAGTGAGTCGTAGTTGTGTATGGGCCAGGGTGTGGATGTGTGAGAAGACAGAGAAAGAGCAGGAGAGAGGGAGAGAAAGAGAGAGAGAAACAGACACGAGTAGGTCCTCCTCAATATTTGGACCATGATCCCTGCCTACAAGAGAGCACCGCTCTCAACACTATTTCATTCATGATCTGGTTCACTCGGTAATTTTCAAACATCTACAGTGTATTAGGTATAAACATTTCCAAAACATTGCCTCTCCCAATTTCTCTTAACGAGAAGGAAGAACGGTCTGCGCTCACACGACGCCACTCCACTGTGCTCTTCGCCTCTTTTTTTCTTAATCCCACAGTATCAGAGCTATGCTTGCATCTTGTTGTCATCTTTGTTTTTAAATGGTCTTAAAATGCAAGTAAAGGGAAAAGTGATCAACAGATTGAAAGAAAGAAGGAGACGCGGTTAACACCGAGGCTGCTTTTTTGTGGGAGCACTTACAAGTCTAAAATAAGAATCTTAAGTGCCATTTGCCTGGAAAAGAGAGTAGCAGGAGACAGATGTTTCCCTCATTATTTTTGTTCAGAGGCGCCATTGCTGCTACGACATGTCACACCATCCGAGAGAGCCACCAGCAAGCGGAAGGATGGGCTGTGTCTTACCTACGCTGTGATTTCCAGCAGGGCCCAGGGAAAACAATTGTAGCTTGCAGTTTTAAAAAAATACATGGAAGCCTTGGCTTTCAGGAGAAAGATACTGAGCAATCGTCTGTTTCTAACGTCGTGAGACAGATCTCACTTTCCTCCCTTTCCAGCTAGTGTCTTCTGTGTTTCCTGGTGGAGAGGTATCTTTGTAAGATGCAGAAAACTGAGCAGTGAAAATGGGCAAAGTCAAGGTCAGATGTATATCTCTCCTTTAGTCTATGTTGAATCATACATATCATTTTTTGTATGTTCTGACTAATTCATTGCCCGGGCTTTGCTGAACGTTAGGACCTCTGGGCATGGATGATGTCGCTGGGTTTTCTTATTTGGCAAGAGCATAGGCCTCTTTTACCAGACTTACTCAAGCCCACCCTAGAGAGCCAGACCTGAGCAGCCCACGGACCAGGAAATGCTGCATTCTTTTGTGTGTTGGGCAGGATTTCCTGCACAGGGTCAAGAAAACATACTTTCCCATTGTCTTGGTTTAAACTGTAGAAAACCCTTGTGTCC